ACACGGCCACGGGTGCGACGCGGCCTGCCTGCATGTCCTCCTAACCTTTCGGTAGAACTCTTCATGCTCACGGACACGTCGCCCAACCGCGAAGAGACGTGGTACGCATATCGAACCTCGCCTCGCGCGCTCATTTGCATGTAGGAAGTTCCTCGATCGCCGTGTCGAAGAAGCCATCGCGCTCGGCGAGGTGCCGCAGAACGTACGTCTACACCACCGTCGTGAGAAAACGCGCTCAGATCTGAGAGGCTAGGCGGGCGACATTGCGGGCATGGTGAGCATTGGTCTGCAGTCGCTCTTGTCGACGGCGGCCGCGCTCGCGGGTCCGCTCTCGTCGCAGGTCGTCGCGCAGGTGGCCCACCAAGTCCCGAACCCGCTCTCGTCGCTCCCGACGATGACGACACCGCGCCCGCCGACCGAGCCCAAGCCGTAGACAGTCCATTCTTTGCTAGACAACTTCTCCACACTACATACACTCTCGGTGTCTTTGCTATTGTGACGAGTTGGTTGGGCTCGAGAGCGTGTCGGCGCTGGTGTCGGGGCGTGGGGTCGACGCCAAGTCTTCGTCGAGGAGCGCCGTGAGGCTGTCGACACGAAGCACGACCGGTGATGCTGGGCTCGACGTCATGTCCCGGCGGCTCGGCGGCGCCGTCGACGGTCGGCGGGGACGTCCATTCGCCGGCGACCTCAAGTCGAACGGGTCGCGTGGCGGCGCCATAAGCAGCTTTTCCCGGTGGTGCAGCCGGTCGTAGACCATCGTCTTGTCCATCTGCGGCGTCACTGGCCGCTGCATGACACCCAGGACGTGGAACTCCTCCCTAGTCGTGCGCAACGTTTGATACAATGCTATGGACAACTTGTCTTTTACCGCAGTGCGAGTCGCAGCGAGAGCCGCGAGGTCATGGGGCGGTCACGCCACGACGTTGGCACTGGCGCCGTGCTCGTTCGAATGGGCCGGGCCGTGTGCGGGCGCCGCGGACGTTGGGGCGGGCGCTGGACGGTTGCCACCGTCAAGTGCTGCATCTCGTCGTCGAGACACTGCAGAAGCGAGTCGTCGGAGAGTGGTGTGATCTCTTCGGTTTCTTCGATCGTCGCCGGCACCGCGTGGACGTCAAAACTTGTGCTCTCAGATGTCGGTGCTGATGATGTGTCCAGAAGTTTGGTTGTCGGACGCCGGCCTTTCCAGAGCATCGACTTGCGACTCAGGAGTCGCCGGTGTTCGTGCTGCGCATGGAGCTCCGAGAGCTAGTCCGTCCTCATTATACAAGACAAGTTGTCCATCATATAACGTGTACCTCCCGGTCTTTTTCTTGTTGCATCTTGTTGGCCACTTCAATGGACGTGATGACGACGCTGTGCACGGAGCCGCAGTGCACACGTAGTGGCGCCGTGCCCGAGAGTGCGTGGACGACCATTGGGAGGTGCGCGTTGCGATCTTCGCCCAAGCCGAGCTACCGCAATAATCCAGTTGGTCTCTAACATGGACGAAACTTGTCCAACCTGGCCTTCTTCGCCGAATCCCCACGCAAAGACGCAGCCGTCGTCACCAAGTGCCATCGAGTGCCACTCGCCGAGTGCACTAGGTCGACGCGATGAGGAGAGATCATGACGACAGCGTATGTACATGGCGCGAACACATTTTCCCTCAAAGAGTCGCAGGCGCACGGGCCGAGGCCTATCGATCGTCGTGCCATCCCCCACTTGGCCGTAGTTGTTGCCACCCCAGAGAAGCAAGTCGCCGGCCTATGCCATTCAAAATCGATAGTACAAGAATCGAGGCGGGGGCTTGTTAACCTGGGTGAGAAGCGCCGTGTGCATCCCACCGGCGGCCACTTCCTTGACGCGAACGTCGGCAAACATCTAAAGACATCGACAACGAGATATGTGCGAGGAGGCGACGCGCTGAAGAGGGTACCTCGAGCGGTGTCGGAAACGTGATGAAATCCGTCCGAGGCTTTGAGAGACCGAGCCGTCCGTTGGCGGTGTGACCCCACACCAGCACCTGCGTCGGCGTCGAGGCGATCGCGTGGTAGGTGCCGGCAGCGAGGCGCTCGGTATGCTGCAGGTGCGGGTTGAGTGTAAAGTGCCGTCGAGTGACCATGTCGCCGAGTCCGAGCTGCCCCGCGAGGTTGCACCCGGCCACATACACGTGGTGGAACTGCGAGATGATAAACGACTGGTCGCCGCCACACACGATCGAGCTCGCCGCGCACGGAAGGTGCTTGGCGTGGATCGGGACGTGGTACTGCTTACCCTTGAAGCCGACCCCTAACTAGAACAGCAGAGCATTTCGACGTCAAGGCGCGATGGCAAACGTACTTGGCCGTAGGTGTTATCACCCCACGCGAACACGCGGCCACCGTCGACCGAGCAAAGCGTGTGGTTGGCGCCACAAGCGACGTGAAAGACCTAGATCCAGACTCGATCCAGATGTGGATGCTAGAACGGTTGTATACTTGATGCTGCACGAGTGAAGCAACGATCGCCGGTACTCGGACGTTGTCGACGTGGGCCTGACCCAGTTGCCCTTCACTGCCCCGTCCTACCTTCCGTGAGATGAATCGATTACTTGTATCATTGCGCTACCAAAGCAGTAGAGGTGCGAGTTGATGTCGACAATGGCCGAGTGTTCGCGGCCACATGCGATTTGAACGGGGAAGAGCCACTTGCAGCGAAGCGGCGTCGGCGTGCACGCAGCGGTCGGTGTCGCCGTTCCGAGTCGTCCGTGCAAGTTGGAGCCAAAGGTAAAGACAAAGAGAGAGTCTTTTCGGAGGATCTGGACCGTGAGGGTGGTCACGGCACAGGACGTGTACCGGGTGTCGCAGTGTTTCGTCCGCTTGACGCGGTGCTCGAGCTTGAAGCGCTGCAAGTCGACGTCGTCTGTGGCGTGGACGTTGATCTCGAGCGGCTTGCGGTGGGCGCCTGTAAACATGACCTACGCAGAATGGATCGCCGATGCTCTCTCAAATGCAGGATGTACCTCGGCGGGCACCACGGAAATGCCAGGCACGTTGGGAAAGCTAATGGATACGATGACGCAGTGGTGCTAGGATAGCGAGATTGGTCGCCAAGCGGTGTGGAGAGGTCGTGTACGGGAAGCGGCGGCTTGGACAAGGAGAGTTCGTATTTGGTTTCGCTGCCGCGACGCAGCCGAATGCTGCTGACCGACACGAGCACCTTGACGTCGTCCGCGTGGCGCTTGGAGCGAGCTCGGGGCACCGGCACCGGCTGTACGGTCGGGCGTCGGTCCACCATGCCGGCCGTTTTGACGCCGTCGTAACTGACTCCTAGCCTTTCTGCCCTGCTACGAGTACGACGCGAAATTGAGCATTTTGAATGTGGTCTGGTTGATGACAGCAGTGCTAGAGGAAGCCTTGAACGCATGCGAAAGCTCTGCAACGGTTTGTGAGAAATGCAGCACGAGTAGAACGAGGCCGAGTATGAGGCTTTTTACGTAAGAAGCACCGTCATTATCTTTGGGGGCTCGGAGCAAATATCTTGGATCTCAATTGACGTTATAGTTGTACAGCTCGACGATGACGCCGAGGTATCATGGCGTCGCTAGCTCTTGAAGAGACCACCGCGGGCGGCGTCAAGCATTTCTTGAAACCGGGGCGTGTCGATGGGCTCGGACGACGCGGAGAGGGAAGAGGTGAACGAGGACGCCATCTCCCAGCTGCTCGGCGCTCCAAGCAGACTGTTTGTACTGCGCACCTCGTGCTCCGTACGACGGGCCTCGTGCACGTTTGATGCGCAATAGTTCGTGGCACTCAGCGCATCGCGCGGAAGCCCACTGGACCGGTGGCTGGAGCCATGGGACGCGCTGCTGTCGCGGTACCACCCGTGTTGATGGCGAAGATCAACTCGGAGCTCTGGAAGCGTGGCTCGGCCTGCTCGAGCTCGGACGGTTTGTAGTCGTCGTAGCAAAAAGGGCTGTCGGCCGGGAGATATGTCGGGGACGTGGCTTCGTCTTTCATCGTCAGCATGCGTCGCTGCAAGACGTCTCGTCGGTACTGCACGAGAAGGAAGAGAACGAGGAGGCACCCGGCGACGTCTGCGGCGATGATCCACGGCGTTGACGCCGAGGCATTGGAATTGGGGCCACCTACTGGCGTCATGAGACGACGAACGTATTTTTTTGATAATGCGCGTACTCGTGGTATTGCCAGTCGAGGACGTCGATGTGGGAGTCACGGTCGTTGGCGGTGTCGTTGTAAGGGTAGGTGTCGTTGATGGCGTCGACGACGGGGGCCTTGACGGCGCGGGCGGATCGGTTGTTGCTGGCTTGGACGTCGTCGTTAGTTTCGGCTTTGGTGTCGTCACGGAAGGATGCGGTGTGGCGGGGAACCTTGTTGTGGTGATTGGGGAGGGCGCGGCGCTGGAGCTTGTGGGTGCGGGTGACGGCGGCTTCGATGAAGGCGCCGGTGTCGGCGAAGGCAAAGGCGATGGTGGCATCGTCGAGCTCGCCGACGGCGTTGGACTAGGAATCGGCGGGAACGGCGCGGGTGTCGGTACTGTCGTCATGGCAGGCGTCATGATTGGCGTCGGCGTCGCAGAGGGGCTTGGTGCCGGGCTGGGACTCGCCGTCACATTGGTACCTGGTGACCACGCCGACGTCGGGCTGATCGAGGCTGGTCGTAATGTTGTCGGCGCCACCGTGTCTGCCATAGCGCCTTGATGCGCCATCATGCATGCTACCGTAAGCAATTGTAGCCCCCACATTTCGTGATGTGTAGTGTCGTGGCTGCGGATCTCAGACTGGTGGCGCGGTCCTTGCAGCGCCACAAGTCAGCGGCACCAGCTGTCGAATCCTACGGCTCTCTTCATAGAAGGAATGATATTGCTGCGCCATTTTGCTGCGCCTTCATCGTGGTAATCTCCAGGGCCGCGAAATACGCGATGGAACTTGTAGCGAGCGCAGTTGTAGAACCACTAGGTTCGAATCCAGCGCCTCCAGACCACATGTTTTTAAATAAAGCAACGTGATTGGTGGATTGCATGATTGGCATCAAATTTCGACCAATCACACGTGTGCTTGCTATATCAAGCACAACTGAAACGACCTGGCATGGGCAGCGGTGTCTCCACGATCGCCGGCTTCGAAGCTCTGTCGCCCGCCGACCAAGCCGAAGCGCAAGCCCAGTACGAAGCTCTCGTCACCGATGGCGCTTCGAGCGAGACGGCGATGACCACCATTCGGGCCAAATTTACAGCGTCGACGGTGCACATTGAGCTGCCGCAGCTCCTGGACGCGATTGCAGCCGCCGTGGGCCGAGGCAAGACGCCGCTGGTGATCGACGCCAGCGACCGCGTCAATACTTTCTTTAGCTACCGCCAGTGCACGCTTCTCGATGGAAAGAAAATGGCGATGGACAAGAGCATGCGCAAGGTACCGGTGCCTGAGATCATGGAAGAGGCGCGGACGCGGCTTGTCGGAGCGCTCAAATGCGGTCACCCGATGGTCGTTGCCATGAGCCAATGCGTCGTTGACTTTGCTAAAACGTTCAATGACGCGACGCTGCCGGTCGACGTGACTCGGAACGGAACGCTGGCGTTCTTTCCGAGCGACCTCGTGTGTTCGAATGCGGGGAAAGGGCTTCTAAACCACCTCGATGCGCTCTACCGCCCCCACGACATGAAGGACACGAGCAACGTCCCGCTCTGTCGCAACCCAAGTGAGTTTCACGTCGTGCTGACATCGAATTTCACACACACGGACTTTGAAACGTACCTCTTCAAGCCCGAGATGGGTCTGCCTCTGCCCAAGTATCAGTACGAGTTCATCCTTGTGCAACAAGAAGCCATCGAAGAAGATTTATAATTGCTTGTATACAATGCGTTGTGGTCAATAGTGTCTACTTGAGCCGTAGCGTCCGATGCTTGGGCTTGCAGTACGCCGCCGTATACTCGGTTGTATACAAGTGTCGCGGGTGCACGATCGGATACCGAGGGTGCAGCATCAGCGGATTCTACAAAATGGCATGACAATATTCTCCATTTCCAATAAAAGTTTCATACCGTGTTGCGATGTCGTTGGGGAAAAAAGGGCACGACGATATGACTCGGGACGCGATGGACTCTCTACAGTAGAGTACGCGTACAGCCACGTCGCACCACTATAGTTGTGGAGGCTACCTCTGGCTTGGGCGTGACCGCTACAACTTTGTGTGCACTGTCCTTTACAGTGTTCACTGGAGCGGGACCGGCGCTTGCAACCACCTTTGCGGCGACGTTTGCCTCGTGGCTCGTCGATGCCGCGTCTGCGCTCGCAACCATGGTTGGACCCGGTGCTTTGTTGGCTGTCGATGGAACCTCCTTCGGACTGTCTGTCGTCGGTGACGCCGTCGTCTTCTGCAGCTCCGTGCTGTCGGTCGAACTGGCCTTTGATTTGCGGGACCGCGCTCGGATTTTTTGCAACAGCTGCATCTTTTCCCGCGCGAGACGCTGCTTCAAATGGGCTTCGAGCGTCGCTTGCAGTTTGGAGCGACCGACCATCGGCACTTCAAAACGCACCTTCTTGGTCGGCTTGGTCGTTGCAATTATTGTCGATGGTTTGAGCACCATGGGTTGGATGCCCTCGGGTGTCGGCCGCTTATGCAGAGGGTGCATTGGCAGTGGGTGCACGGGCATCGCCGGCAAGACGGCCCGACGACTCGATCGTAGTGGTGGTGGCGACAGCATTGCGGCCAGCGGCGGGCCGAGCGCCTCGGATACAATGGGTATCGTGACGGCGCTTGGCTGGTCGAGGTGCTCGATGTTGGCCTTGCACTGCTGCCGACGCTGGCGCGTGAGGCCGTCGAGGCGATCGCTTGTCAACGACTGCTGCAAGCTCGCGGCCGACGCGCGCAGCTGCTCCAGATGCATCTTGGTCGTGCGCTTGAGCTCGTCGTCTCGCGAGAGGCTGTCGGGCGACGACCGGCGCGGCGACGTCGCCTACGCCAGAGCCGAGGTCCTGCACACGTCGCTTCCGGATTCTATACCCAGGCAAAATAGCTCGGTGCTTTCTCGGTTTCGTGCTCCAGCGGCTTGCCGGCTGCAGGCAGAGGCGCCACCGCCATCGTGTCGCATGGCGTGGCCACCGCACGGAGTTGGCCCTACCGCCGATTTGCATGCGCGACGGGCCATACATGCCAGTACCTCGGCTTCCTTGCTGCCGGACGTCATTGCCACTGAAAAACGGTTATCTCAACGGCCGCAGCAATGTTCGAGGTTGCCAGCAGGGTTGTCGCAAGCATCATCAGAGGATTTCCAGAGATCCAAGCTGGTACAATGCAGTGTCCCCGAGCAGGGCGAACCCACAATGTCATCGAGAGAAAAGTGTTGATTTTATGTATTCATTGACTCTGTCTTAATTCAAGACAGAGTCTCCCTTAAGACTCTTAAGGGAGATTGCTAATGCTCTCGTCTTCGCTCATCGCATCATTGTCGGCGGCGACGGCTTCGTCCGGATCGCTCGCGGGGTTGACTTCCGCCTCCTCTTCCTCGGGCTTGTTGTTGCGACGCGGCTGTGGTGAGGCGCCTTTGGTCGTCTTCTTCCCGTGATGCCGCAGGAGCTTTTGTCCTTGACGCAAGACAGGCGCAGCTTCTTTCACTGCAACACCGAGCTCGGGGCTCACGATTGCCACCGCCGACTCGACTTGCTGGAGGTTCGTATTGGCCGCCGCATGAAGGGTTAGCCGGCGGAATGCGGCGGCGCCGCAGCCTTCCGACATGGCCTTGTGCCACACGCCAGGCGAACTCGCACCGCCCGAGGGCAAGCTCTGCAACCCCGTGCGACCGAGGCGCTCCGAGAGGGTCTCGTACCACGCGTCGCACTCGTCGCTGTCGGCGAGCGTAAACTTGAGTCGGCGCGTGCCCGTGCCATCTGCGATGAGGCCATGCAGCAGGTCCGGCGCATACGCAACGCTCGTGACGCGGAAGACACCGCGCGGCTTGGCCATTGCGCGCTCCGAGACGTAGTAGAAGAGCGTGTCGTCGTGCAACGCCATGATGCGGCGCTTCCAGTTCTTGACGAAGCTGCCTTGCTTGCGCACGTAGCCGCTAAAGTCAGGTGGCCCCGACGGCGCTTCGTTGCCACTGCGGCTCGACGTCAGCATGTCGTGGAGGTCGAACTGCCCGGACGCTGCTTTGCGGAAGCCCGCGGCGACGTTCTCAAGCAAGGACATCAAGGCCAATTCAAAATTGAGCTCGGTGCGAGGCCGATCACCGGCGAGATTGACGTTCTTTCGACGCGCACGTCGAATGACACGGCAGGTTCGAGGATGACAATGGACGCATCGCCACATCACGCTGCGTAGGTGTGACCGTTGGTCGCATACAGTGGTGGGGCACTGGGTGTGAGCCTAGCCCACGTCAACACCACTAGGCCGGGACAAGGCGATGTGTGTTTGCATGTTTAGTCCTACGGGAGAAGCCCGTTGATGTGGGACTGTACAGCCTTTGACAGCAGTCTGTAGACGTAGCTTAGCTGTCACTTTCCGTTCTGCACTATAGTACACTAGCCGGTGTTTAGGGAGTACGGCCTCCCTCTGTCTGGTGTTTCACGTTTTGGTTGTTGCCAGGGAGCGGAATCGGTCACAAAGTCGACTTTAGTTGACCAAGATCTTTTGACATCTGACAGCCTCGCGCGTGCCGAGCTAGTCCATCCGACTGTTTGACCGAGGCTTGCAAGCGACCTCAGCCGTCGCATCGCTGCCATGACGTGGCAGGCGCAGGAGGCTTGAAACTGGCGACATGCAGTGTCGCGCGCTCACAGACACTGTCTTCAACAGTATTTTTCTAGTGTCTGTATTACAGTGTTCGTGTAAACAGGCAGTGTTTTAGACAGTATCCATGACACTGTTTCCTCGACATCCCCTCAAACGCTATTAGAACGGCGTGCAATGTTTCGATCCACGATCGCATCCTGCACAATGATTACCTGTAGCTGATGCTGCATGTATTGTACGTTAATGATAGACTGTGCCAACGCTAGTCATTGTAAGCGCTGCTGGCAGGTGCGTCGCCGAGACCCGAGATCGCATCTGGTACAGAATCTAAACCCGTATTCTATCCGGATCGACGACCACCGCGGAAGCCGCAACTCGAGAGATTCGGTCTTTGCTTTGCAAAAGTAGCCTGCTTCCTGGCACAGTAGTGGTACTTGAAGCCGCTTGAGGAATCTGCCACCGCTCTGCACCACCACCCATGCCTGTCCGTCAAGATGACAGGAGGCTACGTATAGTACTCGCCAGCAACAAGCAGTACGAGGACAAACACCCATCGAGTAACAATCAATCAAACTAGCTATCGGTAACTAAACGACGACGACTGCAGCACACCGCAAGACATGGAAAAGGACTAGGCGCTCCAGCGACGGTGCTGCGTCTTGTGGGCAAAGCAATCTTTTCGCAACTGCGCGAGCTCGGCGTCCATCGCCGCGGTCGCCTCGCGGGAAAGCGCTAGCCGGGGCACAAACACCGCCGTGCCGAGCCGGCGTGGAATCGCTCGACCCGCAATCGAGCCCGTCGCGAGCTTTTTGGAGACGCGCATGGGGCTGCAGCAGAGCTTCTCGGCGAGGAACCCGCGCAGCGTCGTCCCGGGTGGCAGGGCCAGCGCGCCTTGGACAAAGTACTCGATGAGCTTGGCAGCATACAGCTGCTCGTAGTGGAACCAGAAGCCGCGCGTTTCGCACTTGGCAATCGCAACGACCTTTTCATCGATGGCCGGCGCCACATGCCGCGGCGTCAGCGGCTCGACCGCCCGCTGGAAGAGCGTCTCGGCGTGCACAAGTCGCTGGAGCGTCGCAACGTCTGTATCACGGACGGCGCGCGGCTCAAAGTGGCAGCGGCCAATGCTTCGCAAGTTGGGATACGGCAAGGATGCAATCTTCTTGGAGACGCGCATCGGTGCGCAGTGGAGCTGGCCCGCCACGTAGCTCCTGAGCGACGTGCCCGCCTCGACGGTCGCGAGGAGGCCGGTGAGGAAGCACTCGATGAGCGCGAGCATGTAGCCTTCTTCTTCGGGCAGCCACACGCCACTCCGCTCAAGGATGGGCGCGTCCGCATGATCGGGCGCCAGTAGCCGTGCAATGTCCATCGTGGGTCCAATCCAGAAATGGCGAACGACGAGGGCCAGCGCGACCCGTGCCCTAACCCCAGACCACGACGGCAATGGCTGCAGAGAGGCGGTGCGCCGCAGAGATATCAGAAGGCCTTTCCTCCTTGCCAAATAGGCGTAGCAACCCTGATGGCGCCACCCACCGCTCCATCGTTGCAGCAGGTGAGTCCACTCTTGAGTAGCAACGCGTCGCTTGCAGTAGCAGCAACTACGACTCGCTTCTTCGCACGCACCTGCGAGAAGCAAGTCGACGTGCGTCGCATGTTAAATCGATCCAATCGCCGGCGACGCCACGCGAGGTGACAGACGGCTGGTCCACCAAAGGAGTAGTAGTCCGACGAGCCCCGCAGCAGGTGACAGACTTGAACGGCAGGTGCGGCACTCGGAAGGTCGCTCGGGTGGTACTACCGCGCAGCACGATCGGCGCACCGACGAGCCCGCCCGCCCACAGTTGCAGCATGCTTTGGCCGCCATGGCGTGCGTTCTTGCCATGACAGAATGGACCGCTGGCGGCGCCATGAAGGTCGTCGCCTTCGCAAAGCACTGCATCCCACGGCTGGAAACATGAAAAGGAAAACAGAGTACGCGACGCTCCGGTTGCTGCGCCATGGCATGCTCCTTCTGGCTCCATCATTGGCGATCCAGAAACCCAACTACGGCACTGGCGACCGTTGCAAAGGTGCGATGTGCAGATGCACCATCGATGGCCCATCACCAGCCAGCGCCCGCTGCATGGATGCCACACGCGTGTCGACGTTAACCCATCGCATACGTTGGCACTTGGCCCGCATACGAAGGGTACCCGATCGAAAGGTCGTCGCTCTTGAGCTTGATGCCGTGTTATCATCATATGTGCCAAGAAGCAGCGCCTGGCAGGAGCGCGCGCTCGAGCGTTGGCCGGCCTTGCGCAGCCGCTTATGCCTGCGACTTGACCACGCACTTGGTGTGGATCGTTGTGCCGTCGGGGAAGAGTTAGAGCCGAACGGGAACCCCATCGTTGACAAACGACTCCATGTACTTTACCGGGCAAGAGAAGGATGGAAGGCCTGCAGACAAGCGGTAGCCTCGTACGCTGAGTACGCCACCGAGCGTACCGGCGCCAATGACAGAAGTTTGAGCCGCGCCATGGTCGAGCCCATCTACAGAGCACGTAGCGAGCTCTGTATGCTAAGCGTAAGTGATGACACGGCACCGACCACGCGCACAACGAACAAATGCAGCAGCAGTCGTGCGTCCAGACGGTGTGTATCTGTCGCGATGACTAACACTGCTGGAGGTGTCAACTTGGTCGTTGGCCACCGCGATGATCGGCGAGGTCGCACCGCTCGCCGCCCGTCCCGCGTCGCCACTGCACGCACGCTCATCCCGCGTGTACGAGCGCGGCGTCTACCTCTGCGCCCACGTGGCGGCTGGAAAGAGATCGCTTATTCACTCGACCCAGTCGACGAGACCCTGACGACGGCATGAGCCGCGAGCGAGGCACATGGAAGCCGATGCAATGCATCGGCAAAAGCGCGCGCGGCAAGAGCAGCACAAACGTCGACGCGTACATCGCAGCAAGGACCACATGCCACGCAGCAGCATGAGGCAGGGCCGGCCATCTTGCCCTTTTATCCGGATGGCCCGGATGACCCAGACGCGGCATAAGATCTGAATATGATAGCGGAATCGCCCAGAATGCTTCGCAGCCAGCGGCCAGTGTGGTCAGCGGCCGAACGACGCTGAACCGTTGAGGCAACAACTCGGCTACGTAATCACTTGTGATGGAGCACCCGCCACAACAACGTGCAATCGTGCGGCTTGCCCTGCAACGCCGCCTTGCTACTGGTCCAATGTACAATGGCTACTCGAGCGACCGTGCCATGTGAGCGCATTGGCTGCAACAACGTCGACGAAGCGCCAGCGTCACTGGACGCGGCTGCATCCGAAGCCTCTTCACCTGATCAGCGAGTGCCACTGCGAGCGCCACGGCAGCCTTGCCGTCTTCTGCCACTTTGCCATTACAAGGCAGACTGCAAAAGCGTGTCTTGCGTCTGGACAAGTGCGCCCATCGGACGCACGCACCGCCGAATCGAACCAGCCAGCGTCTTTCCAAACAGTGTATTTGAAAACAGCGTTTTGTTGCGCCCGATGAATTCCGCGCCGCTGATTTCGCTACACGCTGCATCGTGTAAAATACACATATACCACGTGTGTGAATCTATTTCACACGTAGAGAGGCTAATCCGGACCATGAAATGTGTGAAAAACATAATCACCACGGTGGTGTTTACGTGTAGCGACGTGGAATTCGATGTGCTTCGATCGAAACTCCAAACTGCAATTTCAAAACACACATTTCCCACTTTGCACTGGAATGGACGCCAGCGTTCTGCGGCTCGGCGCGACGCTCGGCGCCGTATGGATCTTCCTCAACATGGCGGTCCTCAACCTCTACCAGCTCTGGATCATGGCCTTCAAGCCCTTTGGCCGGCGCTACGCCCGCCAGCTCATGGGGTACGAGCAGCAGCCATCCGCGCTTTGGAGCTCAGGCATGGTGGCACTGTAGCACGCTCTGCTTCCAGGACTGGATCGACTTTACCGCCTTCTACTCGCCCTCGGCCACGATGGTCGTCACGTACGCAGCGAAACGTTGCGCCACCACGTCTCATGCAGCGTATGTAGCGGCGACGCCATGCCCAAGGACACGAGCGTGCCCGTCATCTTTATCGCCAACCACCAAGTCGACGCCGACTGGTGGTACATTCTGCAGCGTACACCTCGCATGCAATAATGGCACGACGGTGAGCCAAAGGTTGTAGTGATCCAAGCCCACGGCGGTACGCCCAACGTCAAGATCGCCATGAAGGACTCGCTGGCCAAGCTGCCCGTCTTTGGCTGGGGCATGTACATGTTTGAGACTCTTTTTCTGCGCCGCGACCTTGCGCACGACAAGCCGCACGTCCAGCGTACGTGCCGATCTCGCTTGCTGGCGCCCATCGCATGGTGTAGAGTACATGGAGTCGTTTGTCGAAGACGCCTTTCCCGTCTGGCTCATGCTCTTCCCCGAAGGCACGACGATCCACACCGAGTACGTGGTCAAGTCGCAAAAGTTTGCAGCCGCGCAAGGCCGGCCAAAGCTCGAGCGCGTGCTCTTGCCTCGTGCCGCGGGGCTGCAGCTGCTACTTGACGCATATGCCAACACGGACATCAAGCCCGAGATCTACGACGTCACAATCGCATACCCAAGTTACTCGGGCGAAGTGCCCACCTACGAGATGGGCTACAGCCGCCATATCGACACGGAAGTGCCGTCCATGCAGCACGTGCTGGCGCGGACGCACCCGGAGAGCGTCCACTTGCACATCACAAAGCATGAATTTAACGACGCCAACGCTAACGTCGAAAGCTTCCTCGACAAGCAGTGGCTCCGGAAGGAAGCGCTCCTCAACGAGTTTATTGTACACCAGGTACGACGCCTCTCCCTACGTCACACCAAATAGCCGCATAGGAATTTGCATCGGCCGCGCCGTCTCGCCGCCAAGTCACGCCCGAGGTAGTCATCATCTTGCCAGTGTCATTTGCTGGTTGGTAAACGCATTGCGGTAGACCAACATCTGGGGCACGCTGCGTCTCTGGGCGGGCGCCGCCATCTCGCTCGTGCTGCTGCCAGTCGCGCTGCCCTGTACGCCTGCGTGGATGGGAATGCAATCGCATACCAACATACGATGTGTGTAGGCTTGCTTCTCTGCAGCACAGTCGCTCATGTCCAAAACAAGACGCGCACCAAGTCGACCAAGTCGGCCTAGTACCATGGAGAATCCAACATACTACTATGATAGAATCGTGCAATGACGTCGTCAACGCAGAGCACGGCGATGGAGGAGCAACTGGTCGTAGAACCCAAATGACCGACGGCCAAGTGCAAGACCCAAGATCGCACCGCTGGACGATCTTAGGTCTCCCACTTGGCCGATGGTGTCTTCAGTTGGAGCCGTCAGTTGTCGTGGTTGATGCCAACTCATCGTTGGGTAGCTCATTGCACAGCAAAAGAAACAGAAGCTAGGACCTGGTCACCTTGATGGCGCTTGGTCGTCGTAGGTGTATCTGGACAACGTCGGGTGAGCGATCTGGTCCGAGCGGCGAATGAGTCTTCCAGATGATCAATTACACCCATATCTTGGGCGCTCGTACATGTAGCTAGTGAAAAGAGGGCGACGTCGTCGTTCGCAACGTCCGTCATCATGGGATTCGTACTGCCTCCGCCAAGATGCGCTACGCTGCGGTCGAAACCACTTATCCGGGGGCTCACGCTCCAAGAACGCCTGTTGTTGCAACCCATCACGTGGTCAACGGCTGGTTCTCTCAAGCAGCCGAAATATCGCTGTAGTCAATCGACATCACCAGCGCGCCGCAGTCGATCGAGCTCCATGACAAGCCTCCCCCTTCCCGCTTACTGGCTTATATGCCATGCCCTTGATGCTGTAGCCGATGGCTCAACGTGTAATTAGCTCATGCCTTACGATGTT